TGGGGTCGCTAAGAGTCAGACACAACTGAGCGACTTCACTTTCATTTTTCACTTTCATGCCTTGGAGAAGGAAATGGCAACCCACTCCAGTATTCTTGCCTGGAGAATCCCAGGGATTGGGGAGCCTGGTGGGCTGCCGTCTATGGGGTTGCACAGAGTCAAGACACAACTGAAGTGACTTAGCAGAAGAACCAGACTGGAGGCTGGGTGCACCCCTTCATGATCGTCCAAAATATCCGGCACATGAAAACAGTGACCACTTACTGAGTCCTCGCTGCGGGTCACATACAGCTGAACAGGGCACAGTCATCTCAATGAACCCTCTTGAACCCGTGAGACAGGCACTAGTATTGTCTCCACTTCAAGGACGTCAACAGGGAGAATTAGAGCGACTTCATGATTTGACTGGGCTTCCCTGATGGCTCAGATGGTGAAGAATCCGACTGCAGTACGGGAGACCTGGGTTCGATCCCTGGTTGGGAAGATCCCCTGGATGGGGAAATGGCAACCCACTTCAGTATTCTTGCCTGGAGAATCCCCATGGACAGAGGAGTCTGGTGGGCTACAGTCCATGAGGTCATAAAGAGTCAGACACGACTGAGCAACTAAGCACATGATTCAACCAGCGTGCACAGCCTGTGTGTGATGGGGGCTGGTTCATCCCCCACCCTGCCCGTGTGACCCTGAGTTCTTGTTCTTGGACCTTCTGTAACATTTTCTGTAGGGAAAATAGAAGGAGAACTTGGGTTTTCCTCACGATCAGATTTATTTTACAATATCGATAGCTGGGATGCACACCACATGCAGCTTCACATAGACATTTTGGCAGTGTGTTCTTTTGCTCCATAATTGTATCTACAAAAACAGGATGTCTCAGAAATTCCTTTTTAGCATGTCTCCTCTAGAGATAAATGTATAGCATATTTTACAATGATACGTGCTGCAATTTCAGGCTGATTTCTTGATGAGGGTTGTTCCGACCAGGCGTTCATGAGAACAGAACCTCCCCATAGAGTAGCTTCTGGTTATGTGTATTTCAAACTTATTTCTTCGCCACCAGCCACTACCCACTCACTTACGGTGACATTCAGATGTCCTCACAACTCTGGGCCTGCATTTTTCTCCATGATACCAGCCAAGCTGGCACAGAGGGTAGTGGCAATACCCCTGAAAGGCATTTGTTTGCTGAGATGGCTTGGATTGACCCAACTATACGTAGAAGTGGGGGCTGTGAACCTCATAAATTCCCGGAAGCCCACACTGCAGGTGCCACCAGCCCAACCTTCCCTTAGGCAGGTCCCCTGATACCTGCAGCCATGCCAGCATCACGTGGCCTGAAATGGCAAGTGATGGAGGAAGAGTTGGCATAGAGAGCCTGTGGTCTTAACTGGTGTAGAGTACAGTAAATTTTATGGAAATATAATGGTGTGAACCATTTCTAGGGCTCCTCTTCTTCCGTATGAAGCTGAGGGGCCCGTGGTGGCCACTTACCCTGAGCGGTGAGGTCCCCTTCATCACCAACCATCTGCTCTGGACGGCCCACTTAGTCTCTGTCCAGGTCAGAGTAGGCGTGCATGGAGCATGTGGTTTGTGTCAAAAGATCAGGGTTGAATCATAGCCTTCCTTCCTTCCTTTTCTTTTTCTTTTTGGCTTCATGGTATATGGGATCTTAGTTTCCTGACCAGGGACTGACCCCATGCCCCCTTAAGTGGAAGTGTGGAGTCTTAACCATTGGACTACCAGGGAAGTCCTGAGTCATAGCCTTTCTATTCACTGGCTGTGTGACTCTGGATAAAACAATGCCCTCTCTGAGCCCCACTACTATGCAGCACTACACAAGTGTTGGTCATTCTTATGAGCCAAATGAGAGCTTACTAAGTGCTTACGGCATGCGAGGCCAGTACTGGTGCTGGGTGCTCCGTAAGACGCCTGGGATGACTGCTGAAGAGTTCCCACCTCTCATGCTCCCCTGGGACACACAGACCTGGGGATCCGAGCTGAGACGGGAAAGCAGGTGACCCAGGAATTAGAGGACATGGAGAGCACACCTGCCTCTGGGGGCTGTCCATCCCTGGCTCCTTCAGTGAGCTCCAGGGGGAAGCTGGGACGGGGCGGGGGGGAATGTGGGCAGGGAGGCCAGGATGGGATGGGGGATCTGGGGGAGGCCAGGATGGGGGGCGGCCCAGGGAGGCCAGGACGCAATGGGGGACCCAGAGGAGGACAGGATGGGATGCGGGGCCCAGGGAAGGCTGGGATGGGATGAGGGGCCTGGAGAGGCCGGGATGGGGTGGGGGCCCAGGGAGGCCAGGACGGGGTGGGGGATCTGGGAGAGGCCGGGATGGGCGGGGGGGCCCAGGGAAGGCTGGGATGGGATGGGGGGCCTGGGGAGGCCAGGATGGGATGAGGGACCCATGGGGGGACCAAGACAGGGTGGAGGACCCAAGGGGAGGCCAGGACGGGGTGGGGGATCTGGGGGAGGCCGGGATGGGCGGGGGGCCCAGGGAAGGCTGGGATGGGATGGGGGGCCTGGGGAGGCCAGGATGGGATGAGGGACCCATGGGGGGACCAAGACAGGGTGGGGTGCTCACAGGGTGGGCCAGGACAGGGTGGGGGACCCAAGGGGAGGCCAGGACGGGGTGGGGGATCTGGGGGAGGCCGGGATGGGCGGGGGGGCCCAGGGAAGGCTGGGATGGGATGGGGGGCCTGGGGAGGCCAGGATGGGATGAGGGACCCATGGGGGGACCAAGACAGGGTGGAGGACCCAAGGGGAGGCCAGGACGGGGTGGGGGATCTGGGGGAGGCCGGGATGGGCGGGGGGCCCAGGGAAGGCTGGGATGGGATGGGGGGCCTGGGGAGGCCAGGATGGGATGGGGGGCCCAGGGAAGGCCGGGATGGGATGGGGGGCCCAGGGGAGGCCAGGATGGGATGAGGGACCCATGGGGGGACCAAGACAGGGTGGGGTGCTCACAGGGTGGGCCAGGACAGGGTGGAGGACCCAAGGGGAGGCCAGGACGGGGTGGGGGATCTGGGGGAGGCCGGGATAGGCGGGGGGGCCCAGGGAAGGCTGGGATGGGATGGGGGGCCTGGGGAGGCCAGGATGGGATGGGGGGCCCAGGGAAGGCCGGGATGGGATGGGGGGCCCAGGGGAGGCCAGGATGGGATGAGGGACCCATGGGGGGACCAAGACAGGGTGGGGTGCTCACAGGGTGGGCCAGGACAGGGTGGAGGACCCAAGGGGAGGCCAGGACGGGGTGGGGGATCTGGGGGAGGCCGGGATAGGCGGGGGGGCCCAGGGAAGGCTGGGATGGGATGGGGGGCCTGGGGAGGCCAGGATGGGATGGGGGGCCCAGGGAAGGCCGGGATGGGATGGGGGGCCCAGGGGAGGCCAGGATGGGATGAGGGACCCATGGGGGGACCAAGACAGGGTGGGGTGCTCACAGGGTGGGCCAGGACAGGGTGGAGGATCCAAGGGGAGGCCAGGACGGGGTGGGGGATCTGGGGGAGGCCGAGATGGGCAGGGGGGCCCAGGGAGGGCTGGGATGGGATGGGGGGCCCAGGGAAGGCCGGGATGGGATGGGGGGCCCAGGGGAGGCCAGGATGGGATGAGGAACCCATGGGGGGACCAAGACAGGGTGGGGTGCTCACAGGGTGGGCCAGGACAGGGTGGGGGACCCAAGGGGAGGCCAGGATAAGTTGAGGGATTTATGGGGAGGCCAGGATGGGGTGGGGGACCCACAGGGGGGCCAGGATGATGGGCCCCAGGCCCGTGCACACTGGGGTCTTAGTTTGCGGGACTCCCAGCTGTACCAACTGGGAGGTTTGCTCCCACACTGTGCTTTTTATAGATGATCAATGAGCCTTTCTCTTCCTTTCTGAGGATCTGACCATCGTGCCAGTTGGCTCAAAGCCTCCATCTTTCAGGAGGAGCTTGGGAACAGCTTTGTAAGGAGGCCAAGAGAAAAAACGAGGTGTTCTTCCACTTCTGATGCACAGAATAGGCAGAGCCAGGGTCCTGGGAGCCGGCCTTTCCACTTCCTGTCCAGGAATCCTGGATACTGGACAGTAGCAGAGGGTGCAATGTGTGCAAAGTAAGAGAGGCATCCACTCTGGTTCTGGACCCAGGAGACAGTGGAAAGAAAGAGGGAAGTGGGGAGAAGGGCACTGCCCACCCCTAGGTTTTCCCTCTTGGTGCTTTGGGCCCAGAAAGGGGGAAGTGTTTGGGGCAAGTTGAGGGGTGCAATCAGGGCACAGACTTTCCTTCTACTGGCCACATGGGGCTCTGAGAGGCAGCTGTCTCCAGCTGCCTCCCTGCTCCTGGGGCACAGTCCCCTCAACACCTGTTCTCTCAACTCCCATGAGGCCGGGCAGGGGCTCTCCAGCTCCAGTGCGGCCTCATGGAGGAAAGCGATCAGACCCACCGAGGGGGCAAGGTGACCAGAAGACAAAGGCCAGCGGTCAGGTACTGGCCACATGGAGGACAGAGCCACTTCATGATCGGCGGTCAGCAGTGGCAACTCAGTTGACAGGCTGCAGCCTGCTGGAATGGAGGGGGTCAGCGGGACACCCAACGGGAAGTGGAGCAGGGGCATCACCCTGGGGCCAGCTGCACATGCCCAAGGACCAGCGAGGGGTCGCGAAGTCACACGAATTACATCCTACTTCCTGTACCAAGATGCCCTCTTGGAGGGAGGAGGCTGGGAGAATGGACAGTCTCACCCAATGGGATGCATGCTACCTACCTGTAGAGGCTATTTAGATAAATAGCATCAGACAGACCAGGGCTGAAAGCTCCCACCTGCCTTCTGATCAGAAGATCCTCCCTTAACAACAACAACAACAACAAAATTACTTCCTCTTCTCAACTGAGTCGCATGGTGAGGTCTTGGACATGACAGTCAGTGGGGAGCCTTGGAGGGTGGGAAAGAGACCCCCACAGGATGAGATGCAAAGAGCCTTCTGGGCTCCCAGCTGCGCAGGCGGGTGTCCAGGGTGCGGAGCTCTCAGGCCCCTGGGTCGGTGGTGGTGGTGGTGGAGGGCGTCTCCCTCCCCTCCAGCTCCGGCTCCTCCCTCAGCGCCCTGCGCAGCACGGCCCCCAGGGGCTCCCGTAGACCCTGCCTCTTCCGCCTGCCCACCAGGAAGTAGATGACAGGGTTAGCGCTGCTGCTCAAGGCCGAGAAGAGGCGGGCAAGTAGGCCGGAGAGAGTCTTCGTCCGCTGGGGCAGGTCCAGCCAGTAGATGAAGAACCAATGGATGCCGAGGGGCAGGGCGAAGACGAGGAACACCAGGACGCAGGCCAGGATGGTCGCGTACAGCCGTGTGGGCCGCCGGTGGGTCTCCGTGGAGCTCCTCTGCACCCGCACGCAGAGGATGAGGCTGGACCCGGCCATCAGGGGCGTGAAGACCCCCATGAGGAGGATGCTGATGACCAAGTCAATCGTGAAGCAGTGCCGCTTGTCCCAGCCCCAGAATTTACTGCAGAAGAACGCGGCCAGTGTGTTGAGCAGGAGGGACAGCGCCCAGAGCAGCGCGCACACCATGGCCGACAGGTGCTGGGGCCGGCGACACTTGTACCAGATGGGGAAGAGGACGGAGAGGCAGCGCTGCATGCTGATGGCGGTCAGCAGGCTCAGGCCGGCCGTGTAGGTGAAGTACTTTCCCCTGCTCACCATCTCCAGGGCCATGTGGCCTGTGACGCCCAGCCGGAAGCAATTCAGGATGACCTTGGAGGCCATGCAGAGGAGGAAGAGGAGGTCCGCCACGCCCAGGTGGAGGACATAGACACTAAAGGGGCTCCTCTGCCCCTGGGAGCCCAGCAGCCAGACCACCAGGCCATTGCCCACAATGCCACCCGCACAGGTGAACAGGACCATCGCGCTCAGCGCCCAGCGGGCGGTGCCCAGCTCCTTCCTCTCGGGGCTGCTCTCACCATCTACCTGGCCCGGGCCCTGGGCCCCGAACCACCCCGGGGCCCAGAGCAGAGTTTCGTTCATCCTGTGGAAGGGAGATGGACCAGTGTGAGATTTTGCTTTGCTTGGAGCCCCGTACCCCAATTTTCTTTTTGCAATAGACAACAGTTGCTCACGGTGCCTCCCACCCTGCCTGGATCTGACGGCTTGTCCACCATTGCAGACTCAGAGTTGTTAGAGATGCCTTTTGTCAAGCTAAAAGGGTCTCTTCTATCTTGAGTTTAGGTTATTTTTCATCCTGAAGAGATAAATTGACTTTTATCAAAGGCTTTTCTACATCTATTGATAGTGTCATTTTTTTCCACACATAATCTTCAAATTCTGTGAATTAAAGTTTTTTAAATTGGACCTCCAAGTACAAAGAATAGTTTAATTATATGCTGACTTTATGGCACACCAGGATCATCCAGCCATTGAAAAACAAATACAATCCTTTATTTCTGTTTCCCCCTTCATTCTACCCTCCCCTCCCCTCCCCCAACTCACATCTGTCCTAACCTGTTTAATCTACATCCTTGGACATCTGACTATCTTTGGGAACAGATGGCTTCCCATAAGTATTTTTAATGTACACAAATGCTGTGATTTAGAATCTGTGCTGTTTTTTTTTTTTTTAACTCAGCAATATGTTTTTAGGATATCCCTATTTACCAATGGGGCTGTTTTTGTGCTCTCTGTTCTCTGTGATTGGTTTGTCTGTCTCTACAACATTAACACACTGTTATTGTTTTTGAAGTATACATGGCTAGCTGAGTCTCTTCGCTATTTACCTGAAACTACCACAGCAATGTTAATTAGTTATATCCCAATACAAAATACAAAGTTTAAAGTTTGGGAGAAAATAAATACTGCTTTTGATAGAGAAAAACAACAACAACAACAAAAACTAAAGAATACTTGGTTCTGTGTGATCCCTGAGAGTTTCACCTGATAGCTGCCAGGTTCATGGGGCTTCATCCTACTCTCCCCAGTCAAGTTTTTAGCTAAGGACTCAAGGGGATTTGGGGAGTTCTTTCTACAAGTAGCTGGTTTTCTTCTCTCTGGTACTCCATCTCACAAATTGCAGCCGCTTCTATCTCCCCAAAGTCTGACTTCTGTGTCTTTAACTCAGGATGACCACCACGCTCTGTCTGGTTTTCCCCACGTCCTGTACCGCTTTCCAGAGAGGAGCTCCAGGCAGAAAACTGGGGTGATACTAATTTTTTATTAATCAGACAAGTGACCTCATTTAGTTCATCATACTTATCACTTGGTTGAATATTTTGATTGTCTATGCATCTCTCCTCATACCTCTGATTTTTTTTCATGTCTTATAGCATAGCCCAGACACCTAGTATTATGTTTAACAAAGACTGGAATCAGGCACACTTCACTTCTTCCTAATCTTAAAGATAATGTGTCTAAAGTTTCTCCATTAGATACGATGTTTGTTCTATGTTTTTGGTACTATCTTTTTCCAAGGTGAGAAAGTTCTCCTCTAGTTGTTGAAAAGTTGTTTTTTTTTTTTTGTAAATGAGTGATGGAATTTACCACAATTTTTTCTGTGATATGTACTTAATAATTTTCTCTTTTTTTCTCCTTTAGTCTATTTATGTGGTGAATATGTATTGATACATTTTCTGGTGTTCACTCATCCTTATGTTTCTAGGATAAACCATTTCTACTTTGCTCTGTTTTTTAAATTTTTTTTCCCCTTCTTGGTGCTCTGATTTTACTTAGAAAATTTTCACCCATGTTCATAAGTAAAATTGGCCCGTAATTTTCCCTTCTGGTACTATCCTTGTCTGTTTTTTATTTCAAAGATGTAAGATTATACAGGCTTCATAAAATGACTTGGAGAAAGAGCTCTTTTTCTCTACCCTCTAGAACAATTTGTATCATGTAAGGTTTATCCTTCTTTGAAGATTTGGCAGAAGGTAAAACCATCTGGTCTGGTGATTTTTATATGAGTGTTAGTGGATACACATGGCTTTAGAAAAAAAAACTACAGCTACAATTTATTTAATGTTTTAGGTTTATTTAGATTTTTAAGCTCTTCTTGAGTTAGGGTAAGTTATGTTATTTTTCTAGAAAATTGTTCATAGTTTCTGGTTCCACATTTATTGGTATAATACTTTTCACAGTAATCTTTCAGTATTTTTAAAAACCTTAATTCTATGCACCATTTAAAATTAGTGACTTGTTCTTTTTTTCTTTATCAGTTTGCCAGAGGTCTGTTTTTGGGAACTATTTAAAAACAAATCAACTCTGTCGTTTCTTTTCTTCCCATTCCCTTAGTTTATCCTTTTATTTCTTCCACTTTCTTTGGATTTACCTTGTGATTTTTTTCAGCTTGTGTTGAATTCTTTGGTTATTAATTTTCAAATATTATTCTTTTTCTAACAGATATCCAGGGTTATAAACATGCTAGTGAGTATGTCCTTAGGTGTTTCATGACTTACGTAGTGTTTTCATTGTTGTTAATGTCTCAATATTTTGCAGTTTAAAACATTTAAAATTTAAGTTTCCATGAATTATTTAGAAATACATTTTACAATGCATACTTTGACTATGTTTTGATATTAATTTCTAATATCATGGTCAGATAATGTGGTCAGTTATTTGATATTTGTTGAGACTCATTTGGTAGCATGGCCAGTTTTATTTACTCATTTAGTTTAGTACTTTATATGCTCATTTGATAAAACTCTCAAAATTGCATTGTTTAAATGATCTGTATCCCAATTGATTTATCTTCTACAAATATTAACCAATTATGATCGTAATTTTGTCATTTGTCTCTTTTCTTCACCTGTTTTGAAATGTTAAGTATATGTAAATCCAAGATTATTATATTATCCTGGTGAATTGTACCTTTTATGTAATGACCCTCTGCATCCTTATTACTTTTTTAGTCTTAAAGTCTATTTGATCTGATATCATTTTTTAATGAACGTTTCCTAATCTTCCTATTCGTCCCACATGTGCTTTGTAATTACAGATTTTATTTTACAGGGATACTGTGACTTCTCATGGGAGACCCCCTGGGTTGCCAAACTTTTTGCTGCCCAGATGTTTGGCGTTGGCTTTTGTTGGGCTTGCAAAGGATTTCTCTGGTCCAAGATCTGGTTTTTGCTGGATTTCTTGGCTTGGAGATTTGGTGTAAATTCAGATTCTATGCCTGTAAATGGTAACAATTTGGGGCTTGGTTACTCACATTGGTGCCCAGCTCTGCTCACTGCCTGCCCCCTGCTGAACCTTAGGAAGAAAGAAGGTGCTGACCCCATCTGGGTAAACTTTGCTTTTGTTAAGCAGCAGTGTCCTCCCAGGTTCTGGCCTCATGGAGGTCCCCTGATCAAGTTGTTTCTTCTAAAGGGCTGACCTTTATCCCCTCTCCCCTTCCTTGCCCCAGCCATGCGTAACCTCTGCCCCCAGAGCCTCTATCCATTGAATGTATCGTGGGCATCGGCTCTAGTTGCAAGTGTCCTGGGGCACCTGGAGATTTCCCTTCCTGTCCTCCATCTTTCAGCTCTGTATTCTATTTGGGCGAGATGGAGAGGATTAAGTTTTCTCCCAGGTTTCTTTGTATCCAGGGTAAGCAGATGGTACCACATCACATAGACACCAGCCTCCACAGATTCCCTGTGGCTGCAGTCAGAAGTCTTTCCTTTAGGTTCAACAGAAGTTTAAATAACTTTTATCAAGTTTATACTGTGTACTGCACATATACAATAGCATATATACGTGTATATGCACACAAAACCTATGCCTACATATAACACACACAGTTTATATATATATGATACATGTGTGTGTGCGCTTAGTCACTCAGTTGTGTCTGACTCTTGCGACCCCATAGACTGCATGTAACCTGCCAGGCTCCTCTGTCCATGGAATTCTTCGGGCAAGAGTACTGGAGTGGGTCGCCATTCCCTTCTCCAGGGGATCTTCCTGATCCAGAGATCCAGGATGCAGGTCTTCTCCGTTGTAGGCAGATTCTTTACCATCTGAGCCTCCAGGGAAGCCCAATATAGCACATATATAGGCATGTATATATATGTAATAGCATGTATACACATAGACAGAGTAAAGATACAGAGGTAAACGTAGACATATACACAGCACATGTGCATACACACACACACACACACACATGTGTATTTAAGTGTACACCAGTACACAAGCGGAGCCCATCTACAGCAGTGACTGATGGACAGAGCCCATCCTCACAGAACTCACAGTTGATTGGCAGAGGGGAAAATATACAATCAGACAATTGCCCCCGCCTGCCGGGCGTGGTGGTGGAACGGGGGTGGGGGTGACTAACAAGATGGGGGCTCGGAGTGTGGGTGGGGCTGGGAGGTTCTGAGGTCCAAGGGGCGGCTGGGAGAGGCCAGGTGAAGAGGGCTCAGACCCCACCACCCCGGCCCCTCCCCAGCCAGCGGGGCCCCTCCTCCATGCCGCCCGCCTCGGGGGCCCCGTGAACACACTTCCATTCAAACCGCACCACATGAGCTGGGTTGGGCTGCTCTCCCAGGACCACATCCTCCCCGCTGCTGAGCGGGGAGGTGGGGGGAAATGCACACAGGGGGCAGACCCCCACCCCACTTCCCCTGCCTGATCCGGGTCAGGGACCCTCAGAGCACCTGCTCCTTCCTAACAAACTCTGCGAACGCTGATGGAGAGCAGACGGGGCAAGCTGCTGGGGGTGCAGGGGCGAGAAGACAGACACGCGCTGCCCTCCTGGGAGGCGGCTCTGAGGGCAAGTGGTGGGTCAGCAAGAGAACGCAGCTCCCAGTGGGCCGGCTGCCCCAGAGTCGGCGGCAGCAGTGACCCGGGAGCTTAGAACTCCCAGCTAACCGAGGGAGGAACGGCTGGAATGGGCAGGGGTGGGAGGGGCTGCTGCCCCCAGAAGACCCCTCCCCGGGGGCAGCACTCAGGCCCAGAGACCCCCAGGTGCACTGGGGAGCTGGCTGTGGGTCCAGGGAGTGTGAGTGGCCTTCTGAAGGAGTTTGTCCTATTGGGTGAGAGGGTGGGGAGAAGGC